CCCAGAGTACTTAGAAGGGAGTGCTCTGACATCAGAGCTGGTTGAGCTGCTTTCTACTCTTTGAAATCCTTCACTTACATTTAATGAAAAGTTTATCATTTCATCAAGGATGTCCATTAACTAGCAAATAAATAAAGATAGTCCTGTTATACCAGGCAGGGAGGGCATGGGCAGTGGTCCACTGTTCACATTTCTGTTGTGAATTAGGATGGTCTGGAGAGAGAGAATCTGCAGTAGAAAAGAACAGTAAACTCTGACTCAGCAAGCCCACCCTAAAATTTTGAACAGGGTGAGAGCAGATGGTGAGGTGCATCATCACATAAAACAACACATATTTGTCTCCAGATAAAAGTAAACTAGAAGCTTAGAAATAAGCTGGGGGCTTAGGGCTGCATTATTCAGTTTAAGATTGAAGCAAAAACAAATACAACTTCACTGGAATGAGTTAAAAACAACCTGCAGGGTTGTAAAGTAGGAGCTTCATTACCAAGACCAGTGCACAGACAGCAGAATTTTAGAACAAAGGCTAGCTTGATTAGTAAAACATCAAGGCCATTAAAAAAAGGAGAGAATGGTTAACACTTGTGGAATTTAGAAGGGATCAGGTAGGTGATAATGAGCCATGGAATCAAGCAACTCCCTCAGCACTGCCTGACTAGAAATGCTGCTGCTGCTGCCAGGCAGATGGTTTTAAACTTTGGGTGGAGCAGGAATCAAAAGGGGCACGATTTACTTTTTTTTAAGGAAGGAAATTAGCTTTCCTCAGGGTCCACGTCTTTCTTAATATTCACACACATGTGCATGCATATACACACGTGCTCTGTAAAATGTTGGATGTCCATGGCTCTTTGTAAACTGGGAGTTTAACAGGGTTGTAAGTGCTTCCTACTTCTTACCCCCACCTTCCATTTCCACCCCCTGCTTTTTCTCCCTCATTACTATAGGTCCAAAGCCTGATGTTCTCTCACTTTTACTGGAAGAGGCCTCTCTACGTCATGGCATCTGCCCTATTGTCCCATTGGATGGTAAGTACTGGGGTGGCTCAAGAGATTGGTGATGGAGTACAGCATCTTTCCTTTAAAGTCATCAACTGAATTTTGGCTGGGAGCTTCTTTCTCCTTGCACCTCCTCAGGAGATGAAAGCCATGATTGCAGCTTTGGTGCTACTCAAGTCAGGAGAGAGAGAATGGGCTCAGAGCATGCCCTTCTCTGCAACAGCCAGTGCCACTACCTGGCCAGGGAAAGAAGCACACAGCCATTACAGAGATAGCCATCCTGTCTGCTGTGCTTAGGAGTGCACAGAGATGCTCCCAACACCAGCCTGTGACTTGGATGCTGTCACTTCGGTGGTTTAAACAGAGTAGCCGGCCAATGTATTTGCAGCTCTCTTCACTTGCTTTCCATGTTGCTGTGTGGCTCCTGCCCCTGACAGGCCCTCTTGCTCTCATCAAAACTGATGGCAATGACTTGACGTGGTGCCAGATCAGGCCGTAAGTTGTTAGGAAAAAGAATTACTTCAGTCCTCTGCTGCACAGATGTGCACTTGTATCAATAAGTGAGGTATGTGTAGTGCTGACTTCACAGACCAGTCTCAGTCCTGTATGGTGTCTGCTGGGCGCAGCAGACAAGGGGAACCACAAAAGTTCCCTGATTCTGAAGGCAACTGAAGACCACTTTACCCTCAATCTAATTTAAAGCAGCTCTGGGTCAGCTCTGAAATATATCCTCAAGGGTCTGTCAGGCAGCTGGGGACTGGCAGAATACAGAGTGGTCTGGCCATGTCCCTTCCTCACTACAGAGTGCCTGAAAAACAGGGAAGGAGAGATAAATCTCCCAGCCTCACATCACTTGAGCCCCAGTCCCCCACCCTGGGATCCCAAGGAACACTCTCATGGACAGTTAAGTGTTATGTTGCCCCTTTGTGCCCCTGGCATGGTAAAAGGAGATCACGGCTCGGCTGAGCTGAGGCCATTGCATGCAATTCCTAGTGATCCTTGTCCCTACGCTCCATTGCCCACACCAGGAATGCAGTCATCTATTTGCAATGGAAAATTACAGGCTTGTTTTAATATAGTTACCTTGTGGGCTAGATCTTCAGGGACATGACCATGTTACTGAAAATGACTGGACATCTGGTACTATAAGATTGTCTAAACAGAAAGCCAAGTTGGTATGGGTAAACATAACAACTCTGGAACAAATATCGACAGTGTATTTTTTTAATCATTTATTTTTAGTCACCGTGTTTACATCAATATCAACAGTGCTTTAAAAATCTCAAAAATGTCCAGTAGCTGCTCCCCCGGGGTCTAGAAGAGAAATTCCCCGATAAGCAGCTGAGAAGGTCAGCAGTCTCCAGGGTTTCTGTGCTAACGTGTTGATTTTTTTTTTTGACAACAGTAAGTTCCAAAATCTAACCTTGCCCAGGGTCAAAGCTACTCGCAGCTCTTTTCCCACAGTTCAGTAAGAAAATATTTCTGAATGTGCTTTATTGGAGGGCAAGGCTGCGGTAAGAAACATGGATTGAAAAATACACTATATATGGAAAAATTGGTGGCAGATTGAAAATATTAGCATGGTCTAGAGATTGGCATACTAAGTTAGGCAGTGACTTCTGTACCCAGCTCTGCCATTGACTTACTGTGGGCCTTTAGGCGAGTCACTTAAAAATCTGTCTTGTGCTCAGGATGCTTGTCTATAAAATAATGCTACTGAGCTATTTCACTGAGATGTTGTTTGGCTTATTTCAGGCAGAGAAGACAGGTAGCTGCTCTGTTTGTCCAGTGAAGCAAAATTCCAAAAGTTTTGGATACTTTCTCAAGACTACATTAAAACAGGCAGACAATGGGGCTAGGAAGTTACCAATCTCCAGAGACTTCTGTGCTCTAACACAATTCTTAGCTCCCTTCAAGAATAGCCTCATCTCATCAAACTGATTTCTTTCTAACCTGCCTTGTTATACCCTCCATTACAGTATTTCTCTCTTTATAGTGTTTTTCTCAGTGTTATATATTTAATACATATTGGTTGGATTGTCACTTCCCTTTGTGTGCCTAACTGGCAGTTCTCTAGCTGCATAAGTGGCGTAGAGAGAGTGATTCTGCTTCCCCTACAATATCATGTTCCAACACACTCGATCAATTGAGTCTGCTCTGATGTGCTGTAAGTACAGCACATTGGAGCAGCCTCCCTGCACATGTATAGGCACCCCTGATTTCTAAATCCTTGCCATATCCCAGCTGAGGCCCTCTATGGAGCTGTAGGCTCTGATCTTTGGGTTCAGCAAAGCTGTTTGGCATAAGACCATAGAGAAAGGCAAAGAGGGATTCACCCCCCACATTTGTACTACCATCACAGTCTCATGTTTGTGTCTCCCAGGAGCTTATTTCAGACCACAATGCAGGTTGATCTGGAATAAATGGTTCCCAAGGCATCTCTAGTGCACAAAAGGACAACTGAACTGCAGAGGCATTTCAGCTAGCCTCCCTGACATGCTGCCAACATGCCCTGTTCCTGTGGGGCTGCTGAATAATGCAAGAGGAATGGAGTGGGGCCAAATTCTGAGCAATGTGGGTGAACAACTAGTTCTGCTTGTGGTGTATGTCCACACACACACACACACACACACACACACACACACACACACACACACACACCCCCTCTGAAAGAGATGCTACAGTAGCTGACTGTGAGAGCCCTGCTTCAGCTTTTCCTGCTTTCTAATGATTACTAAAAAGAAGTCTCAAAACAGCTAACAGAGAGCAAGATTCCTCCTGAATTCACTAGGCAAACCCTTGCTCAGACTTCTCGCCATCAATATATACTT